GAGGGCATGCACTGCAGGGGCTGGCAGACATAACCCAGGCACAGCTCAGACCTGCTGCCCATGTTACTGGAACTGACAGAGGAAGGCCGTGCTGAGCTCTTGAGAGAAGCTGATGAGGTGTTGGTGACACAGCAGCTGGATGGCATGCTAGAGAGGTCCTTTCCCTCCAGCAGTTCCCTGGATCTCTACAAACTCCATCCCGTCCAGGCCTTTTTATATTCTTGGAGTGAAGGGGCTTGCACTAAAGTATTCTCAGGGGGAGTGATGGTGTTTACACTTGGTCCCAGAGGAAGCTGATAATTAGTTTGTAATTTGGTTTCCAATAAGGAGTTCCCTTCCTCATAAAAGAGGCCAAACTTATCATTTGGCTAAAGCAGGACTCTGAGTTCTTGTCATCGGTCACCCGGGGGAAAGCATCAAGACACATCTTCAAAGAACCAGCCCCATACATGGGCCCTCATTACCAGGGTGTGGCATCAGGTGCTGCCACAGCCTGTCCTGTGTTGTCACGGACCTTGCCTGCTGCACCCCCGCCTGCACCTGCCCTAGGGAAGGCTACAAGCCTGCAGAATGCCCCTTTAATGAAAACATTTCATGTGGGAAGAGGCCTGGCCCCTTCACAAGGAAATGTGTGGGTGACAGAAGCTACCTCAATACCGTGGTATAAATCTGGAGAGATAGGAAAGAGACCAGAAGCCTCAGATATGTCTCATCCTCCCACCTATGGAAAGGACCTATCGTGGAAGAGAAAAGGAACTGAAGACACAAACAGCTAAGCCGCTAAGACATCTTTTCAGTTGGATGCAAATGAGAAAGGGAGAAGTGAAGGTACTTCTCCTTGGAAAAGCAGCTCATTGTCAGGAACCCCTCCAGAAGGCAGAGACTTTGTCTTGACTTTGTCCAGGTCCTCCACTTGAAGATGGCGGCCACCGTGGAATGTTCAACTATTGCCTGTTAAGACTGAGGTTGGACAAGTTAGAGCTGGGTCTCCTTTTACTTTCTACAGTGGTGGAAAGGGAGGGCTCAGTTGGGGACCCCAGTGAGTTGGAAGCCCTGTAAATGAGGTCTTTGAAAAGGAATGTTCTGTGCTGAGCTAGGAAACAGGGAGCAAATATACCCAATTATAAAGCCTTGGGCATTCCCTTAAAGCAACAGGCTGAACTAATGCCATTCAGTTCCAGCTATGAATGCTGTGGGCTTCCCTGCACATGTTGTATCACCACTTTTGCATTCACTCCTGTATTAGTTACTTTTCTGGTTGCCAAAACAAAAATCCCTGGGGAAAAAAAAAGGAAGGCTTGCAGTTGGAGGGACTGCAGTTCATCATGGCAGCAGGAGCTTGAGGCAGCTGGTCACATTGATTCCAGTCAAGAAGCAGAGAGAAATGAATGCTGGTGCTCCACTGGCTTTTTTCTACTCCATTCAGAACCCTAGACCATGGAATAGTGCTGCACATGTTCAAGGTGGGTCTTCTTGCCACAGTCAAAACTCTTTAGAAACACTTTTGTAGACATGCCCAGAGGTGTGTCTCCTAGGTGATTGTAAATCCCATCAAGTTGTTGATCAAAATTGGCCATCACACTCCCTTCTCCATATAACGTGAGGATATAAGCCCTTGTTGTACCCTTCCAAGTACTTCCTTCAGAAGCATTGGCAAGAGGACAGGAAATGGGAATTAATACCTCCCAGCCCTCTCACTATTTAAGGACTCAGACTAGAAATCCTGCCTTGCAATGTTTGCTGTAACCTTTAAAAGTCACTTTGTCTCCCTGTGTCTTGGTTTGATCATGAAAAATGACTTCAATTAAATGATTTGTCAAGAAATGAGGAGATATATATATAATATATATATATATATATATATATATATATATATATATATATATATGGAGAGAGAGAGAGAGAGAGAGAGAGAGAGAGAGAGAGAGATTAGTGTTACAGTGTACCCAAGCATGTGTGAGGGTATGAGTCTCACCCCCACTCTCATGACGCTCCCTTCCCCGCAAAAAAAAAATCTTCCAGTTTGACCCCCTCGAGCAGCCATAATTCCCATAGCTTCGTCTCGATGGACAGTTTAGAGGATCTGATGATGACAGACAGAGAGAGACGTGAGAGCAATGACAGCTACATGAGATGAGACACCTTGGCCACCCTTCAACATCATAACCAGCACTTCCTGGAGAGGAAGTAAATGGAAACCGAGCACAGCATTGAAGACTTGACGTTGGTTTCCTCACTTCATCCCTGTAGTCATCCTCTTCTCCTTGCTGTGGTGAAATACCCTGACGAAAGCAACATAGGGAAGAGCTGATTTTAGCTCCCAGTCTGAAGGGATAGCCCATCATGGCTGAGGAGTCATGGCAGTAGGAATTCGAGGCAGCTAGTAACATTGCATCTGTAGTTAGGAGCAGAAAAGCTGGCCTGAGCTACCCTAGTTACAGTATCCAAAAGCCATCTGACTAATGCACAGGCAAGCAGCCCTAGCTCTACATCAGCATTCCCAAACAGCTCTCAGACACTCCAGATCTAGGCAAATCTCAGGCCAACTAAATCATGATTTCTGGGAATCAAGGCAGGCAAGACTTGTTTTCTGTTTTGTTTGTTTGTTTTTGTTTTGTTTTGTTTTGTCATGTTGTGATTTTGGTTTGTTAGATTTTTATTTTTAAGCTCTCTGGGTCCTTCCTGCGTTCAGACAAAGGTAAAAACATCTTGCTGCATGGGGAAAGAATTCTAAGTTAAAAGCAACAGCAAATGAGCTAAGAAAAGGTAGGGTTCTGTGTGAGCTGGAGAGTGCCGTCTGGGAGGGAGCTGGAATGGCTTGGAAGTGGCTTTTGATCCCAAGGACACCAGTGAGAAGAGAGAGACCTCACTAGAGCCTGTGATCAAGAGAGCAAATTTTACTACTGACCACCACCGTCAGAGTTGAAACTGACGCTAACACACGCAACTTCTTGGTTCACTGGTTACTGTTGTTTAGATTTTGTTTGTTTGTTTGTTTGTTTGTAGTGGAAAGTACACATGTGATGAGGTGCTGATGGTGGCCAGAGGTCATTGGAGCCCCCGGAACTGGACATGGGTTCTGGGACCTGAAACCAAACTCCAGTCCTCTGCAAAATCAATGAACTCTTTACTACTGAGCCGTCTCCCCAGCCTCACAGTGCCATACGTACTTTGGCTGGCCTGAGGTAACTTGGCATTGCTACCTAGAAATGCTGCCTCAAAAATGAAATTCCAGAAGAGAAAAGTAGATGCCCACCCTCAGAGCATCCAACTAGAAGGACAAGCCAGTGTTGGCCAGTTTCCAGATGCCAGCTGTATGCACAGTGAAGTACTGAGGAGATTGCAGCATAGTAAGTGTTACCTGCCCTGTTTTTCTCAGGAGAAAACTGAGACTCAGAAGGGGACTATAACCTGCCAACACTCTCTCACAGTGGTGAGGCTTGGATTTGAGCCCAGATACCTCTGACTCTATATTCCAGTTCTGCATTCCTTATATTAATGACACAGCCTCCTCCCACTAAAATAAATGATAGATAGATAGATAGATAGATAGATAGATAGATAGATAGATATGGTAAGGAGAAGTGGGTGTCCTTCCTGTGCTATACCAAGACCTTCCTTCCATGTAGACTGACCCCTGCCCATGATACCTAGCGTCCTGCCTGGCACATATTGGTGCTCGGTAAGGATATGTTGAATAAAGTGAATGAGGCAGGTGCCTGAGCCTCAGCAAATTCAGCCATTGTGCTCCAAGAACACAGTGGTACAGGCCACCTAAAGCCAGGTTGCTAGCAGATACCAAAGGCCCCTAGGGTCCCCTTTTAGGAAGCCAAAATGGGATTCTACAGTCGAATCAGAGTGAACTGTTCTGATGCCCAGAAGGGGCAGATCTGGCCCAGACCAGCCTAGTTCACTGTTCTGCTCTTTATCTTGGACTGTGATCACCCTCTCAACATCATGTGGTCCTTAGTGGGTACCTTTGTTATCTTTGAGGAACACATGTCCCTCTGAAGACGATCTGCCTTCTTGACCAGCTTAGAAAGGGTACTACCACCCAGGTCCCTTTTCCATTAGAATTGGGAGAACTTGGTGCTTTGCTTGGTGTTTTGAGGGAAGACATTCTGAGCACAAATGACAGGCTTCAGGGGAAGGTGTGTGTGTGTGGGGGGGGGTCCTGCTTCTGAGCCTCAACACCTCATTAGGTGCCAGGAGCACACAGGAGCCTCCCAAGTCACAAGCCTGCTTATGAGTGGAAGTCCCAACTCAGGTTGAATCTCTGTTGCCTGCATGTAGTGGAATTGTGGACTATTAAGAGATTTCATGAACTGAAAGGGGTTTCATGAAAGAGTTGCAAGGGAAGAGGAGAATTAATATGAATGAACCCTAAAACTACCCTGAATGTGGGGTGCACGCCACTGCTCTGAGCAGAGCATACACAAGCTAATAAAGTGACTTATCTCAGCTCTATCAGGACTATGCTAGGACCCCAAGGGTTACTATGTATACCAAGAGGAAAGGTAGGTAACAATTATCACCACACTAGGACCTTGCAGAAAGGGAAGCCAAGCAAAAAGTCTCACAGCAAGGCCTTCAGTGAGCAAAGTAAGCAAAATGACTGTCTTGCAACATCCTGAGTTCAATCCCCAGCACCCATTTTTTTTTTTAAGCTAGACATGGTGACATGTGCTTGGTAAGCAAAAACAGGTATATCCCTGGAGCTCACTGGGTACCCAGTCCAACCTACTTGGCAAGTTCTAGAGTAATGAGAGATCTGTCTTAGGATGGGGTGGGGGGCAAATGAAGCCTGAAGAACAACACCCAATGGACAAGCATTAAGTAAAAGCTCCATTGCATTCCTCTAACCACCCTCAATGAGGAGCATAGGGACCCTGTCATTGTCAGGATCACATTAGGTCAAACATGCCCCATGTGTCCGCCCAGCAGTCAATCTAAACCCAACACGGACACAAACCAACACAGAAAGGATGTGAGCCAGTCATTGGGAACCATAGCAAATGGCTTTATTGCCCCACCCTCAGATATACTGTATTGAATTTCAGAACCTAGGAAAACACACTCAGAAAGAAAGGAGCAGGCCCAGAACAGAGACCCTGAAGCCCATTGAAATGATGAGTCAAGGCCCGAAGAGTAACCAGCCCTAGTTGGCAGGATCAAAGAAACTTCAAGACATTTATTTGCAGAGAACCCTCTCAGGGACTGAGCATGGGCCCAGCATGAACAGAGAGATGTGTGCTGTAACAGTCAGATTGACTAGAGGCTGTGTCAGAGCCCTGGAGGCAATGGCCTTGACCCTCTGGATATTTTGCTCTCAGAACCGGCCCCCTGGGCAGGGCACACAGACAGGGCGGGGACTGCAGATGTTTCGAGCTGTGCTCGTGCTGCAGGAGACCGCAGGAAGGCAGGGGAGGCATGACTTGGAGGGTGAGTAGTCAGGGGCACACGGGTTGCAGGGAAGCCTGGGAGACAGGAGAGAATCAGGTTACTACTATCATACTCCAGTTCCTATTTTCAATAACATTGACAGATCTGAGACTATACAAGCAGGAAGGTGGCTTCTAAATCCTGTCTCCTTGTTTTACCCAAAGGGAAACAAGTACCCAGAGAGAAACGGAAGCAGTCAGAGCAACAGAATGAGTTTGTCCCAAGACCAGAGCTAAAACCCCTAAAGTTCCTACATCAGGATATCACACTCTTCCTGGGCACCATATGTTCTCCTAAGAACTTTGAAAAGGTGAGAGCACACAGCCATACTCACTTGCTGTCCTCACTCTCCAGAAGACCCCTGTATGTGTTGATCTCACACTCCAGCCTGGCCCGGACATCCAGCAGCACCTGGTACTCCTGGTTCTGACGCTCCAGGTCAGCCCGGATCTCACCAAGCTGGGACTCCACGTTGCCAATCATGCACTGCATCTGGGCCAGCTGAGAGCCGTAACGGGCTTCTGTCTCTGCCAGGGTGGAGTCCAAAGCATCTCTCTAGGAGGGCAAAGGTTATGGGAAAAGGAAGAGGTTAGAGGCCAGAGAACTCTCTATGAAGATCCACCTGGGTCTCAGTGAGACTTCAAAACACAAGAATAGAAGCTCAGAGAGTCACTGAGCTAGGAGAAACCGCACCCAGATCCCAATGAAGATGAGCCAACCTAGCTCCTGTAGCCCCTTGATCCACACAGCATGTCCTTCCTAATGGTACCTCTGAGTGATATTACACAGAAGGTGATCTTATGCAGAGGAGTTACTACCAGGGCATCTTAAGTACTAACAGAGCCTCTTGTCCTTCACAAAGGCAGTTGTAATGTGTGTCTGGCCTTTATACCTTCTTCTCTGGACACAGAAGCTCTGAACTAAGAATTTGAACTCTTGGAGTCCATTTGTAAGGCCAAAGTATGGAACCTAGGGTTGTGTGCCTCCAGTTTGGTTCAGCAGATGCTTCATCCCAACCCAGTGCTTACCATGCTCTGCTGGGCCTGCAGCTCGATCTCCAGGGAGTTGACAGTGCGTCTCAACTCAATGATCTCTGACTGGCAGGACTGCAACTGCTCTGAGCTGGACACGACCTGCTGGTTCAATTCCTCAGTCTGAAACATACACACAGGATCTAATCAGGAACCCTGAGATCGAAGCTTCAAAGATTACAGAGATCACTTGGAATCAGCAGTATAAGTCCAGGAAGACCTTCCAGACTACCCATTCACCTCTGCTGCACTGACCTGGGTGTCATACCAGTCTTCTGCATCCCTCCGGTTATTCTCCACCAAGGTCTCATACTGGCACCTCATCTCATCCAGAACACGGTTCAGATCAACCGGTGGAGCAGCGTCCACCTCAACATTGAGTCGATCGCCGAGCTGGCAGCGCAGTGAGTTCACTTCCTGTGGTACAGATGCAGGTCTGTTTCCAAGAGGGTGCCTCATCTGTACTCACCTCTTTCTTCCCATTCTCACCTACTCTCCTTCCCCTTGCCCATCTCTCCCATGCTCACTCCTCCTCATGCTCACTCACTCCTCCCCCATGCTCACCTCCTCCCCATGCTCACTCACTCCTCCCCCATGCTCACCTCCTCCCCCATGCTCACCTCCTCATGGTTTTTCTTGAGGCAGAGCAACTCTTCCTTCAGAGACTCCACCTGAGCTTCCAGGTCAGCCTTGCACAGAGTCAGATCATCCAGGATCCTGCGTAGACCATTGATGTCAGCCTCCACCAGCTGCCGCAGGGAAACCTCTGTCTCATACCTGCAGATACAGAGAAAGGTACCCAAACCTGTGATCTCATTTGTATCAAAGTCAAGCCCTATCTCCAGACTGGCCTGGTGCTGTACCAGCACCAGTCCAGGGACAAGCAGGACAACTCACTTGGTCCGGAAGTCATCAGCAGCCAGCTTGGCATTGTCAATCTGCACCACCAGCCTGGCGTTCTCTGCCTTGCTGCAAAGAGTCTGGGGACATAAAGATGTGATTTCTATGTAAGAAAGTACATTCTGCTGGTAGGAAGGGGTTAGAGTACCATCCTGGAATCATGACAGTTTGGGGCTTCCTGAGAGATGAGAGCTTGTATCAGACAACAGAGCCCTCAGAATGTGGTGTGCCTATGATATGTAGCCAAGGGCTAGAGAGACTGGAAAGACATGCTACAGGAAATACTGCAGTGTGAGAGAATGAGGCCTCTCCCTGCCTTCCTGTCCCCCATGCCTGCCGTGGGTCCAAGGCAGGTCACTGCCATCAGCCACCCTCTGGTTCTCTGGTCACAGATGCTCTCCCTTGGGATCCAGCTGCATCTTTTCAAGAATGAGAACAGAGAAAGGTGTCTTCTCTGCTTTACAGATGGGGAACCTGAGCTCCACTAAATGCACCAAACCCAACTGTCTTGCCTCTTTAAAACAAGGACATTAAATTTCAGAAAGATGGACGGTGGTATCAAAGGTCACTCAGCCAGTTAGTTAGTACAGCCCATGTTGAAGTTCTGAGTCTGCTGATTGCCATCCCAGTCACTTAACCAGCCTGACTTTGTCCTCATCCGATAGATTGGGCTAAGATTATTGGAAAAAATTGAAGAGGCCACAGATGTGAATAAGCTTTGCTCCCTCCGAAAGTTCCCCATGGAAGCCGGGCTACTAACACACATGTTCCAGCTTCTAGACCTCAACCACTCACCTTCTTCTGGAGCTCCTCCATGGTCCGGAAGTAAGACTGGTAATCGGGGCACATATAGGGCACTTGCTGCTCACACCACTCCCGAATCCGGCTCTCCAGGCTGGCGTTCTCCTGCTCCAGCTGACGCACCTTCTCCAGATAGCTGGCCAGGCGGTCATTCAGGGACTGCATGGTCTCCTTCTCATTGCCGGTGAGGATGCCTTCTCCAAACCAACCTCCACCCATGCCGTAGCTGGTGGTAAAGCCTCCTGTTGGAAGGCAGAGAGCTGGGAGGCAGCTGGATACCCTGTAATTGCCTCTACCCAAGCCGGCAGAACACACAGAGAAACTCCGAGGTCCCCGGGAAGGACTGGTCAGCTTGCAAGAGCTACTGGAGTACATGCTGGACACGCGAGTGGATCCTCCTCCAGCTTTCCCTGGGCTCTTCAGAGATCCTGAGGAGAAGCTGGCCTTGAGGCATTTGGAAGCCATGGCCACAGCAGACGTAGATCTCTGAGAGTAGACACCCTGACACAGAGAAGTGGCTCCCTAGCCTGACTTTATACTTCTGCCCCAGTGGGCGTTGGTTGGCCCTTACAAAGTGTTTTCTCCTCGTTAAAGTTAATTCCACTTTCTATCAAAACCTCTCATTAGTCTGTTATTTAGCTTCCCGTGAACATATACCAGCCTCGTAAAACAGAAGCCCCGTTGGATGAGTGGGCCCCACAGCCCTACATCCTGGGAAGACCCAGTCTACACTGGCTCTTCAAAGGGGCCTGTCTTCAGAACCTAGACCTTGGCCTCCTTGTTAAGCAGGTGTGGGAGTCTCATCAGTGTCTTGCCTTCTCCAGCTTTGTCTCCTTTGATGGACAGTCCAGGGGAGGGGGGAGGTAGGCAAGCCAGAAAGTGACTAAAAGGCAGAGGTCTTGTAGCTTGGGCAAACATAGAAGGCTCTTGAATAGGCCCTGAAGATATGGCCATGCTTACAAATTGCTTCGGGTCCCTCTGGACTGCTGTGGTTTTAATGTAACATGAGGGGCCTTTTGTCCTGGACAAAATGGGACATTAGTAACCCTCAACCCAGCAGAGCCTTGACAGACACACACCCCTACTTCTTTGCCAGGAGCTTTGTTCTGGTTATGTAGTTTCAGCTCTAGCCGAAATAACTCAAAGTCAGTTCCTGGTGATAGCTAGAGCCATGTTTAAGGAGGACATGTATTTTCCAGCCCAAGTAGAAATGGAGAAGGCTTTGCTCCTAGTTGCCTGAATTAGTGGAGGGGAAGGAGAGTTTCTGATTCACACATCCTCCTCAGCAGGTACAGGAACCTCGGCCTCACAGGCTCATCTCTGCACTGGAGACTGGCTGACCCAATGCCTAGAACATTTGATGAGACATTTGACTAGTCCAGTATGTGAACAAGAGAGACCTGGAACCAGGGCGGAGGAGAGATGTCAATGAGAATGGAATCGCACAAGGTGAGAGCCTATGGAACCTGCCTTCTGAGCCGTTCTGCAGTTTGGGGTTCTCTTACCCTTCTAAGAACACCCACTATCTTCCTATTAGGAAGCAGCAGTGAGCTGAGACCAGCAGTGAGCCTGGCAAGGCACTCAGCACCTTCCCCCCTGTGCTGTCAACAGACCTGAGCTCATAGTCCCCATCCTGTAGGTGAAGATATCAAAGCTTGGATATAAGAAGACCTTGCTTAGCACCTCCAGCCTGAGGCTGGCACAACCACAGAATTCCGTCCCAGGCTGCATGATAGGATAGAGTCTATGGAAAACAGAAAGGAGAGAGAAGTGAAGTAGAATACACAAGGAATCCCAGGAAAAGCAGCCTGACCTCATGATGACATCTGAACTCATGGGCTCAAATCTCCATCCCACCATGAACCACCTGACTTCACCTCTCAGGGTGTCCCTCTGTTTCTTCCTGTGGTGAGAACAAATATTAATGCCTGCACCCTGAGTTGTCTTAAGCACTAAGTGAGCCTTGAAGAAGCCCAGACAGCAATGGCTCATGGTAAGGGCTTCTAGTGACAGCTGCCAGTCCCTCCACAACTGCAGTCTTGTTGAACTGGAACTCGGTAATGCCTAGCAGCTGTCATTTGGGAGTGGGGACAGATTCTAAGCGCACAGTTCATTGTCCCACGGGCCAGATGCATAAGTTTGGAAGCCTCTGCTATAGAACTCCCATGATTCACCGCACTGTTTCCACACCCTGGGATCCGGTGTGATCGGCTCCACCCAGCATAATCCTAGGATGCCAATGGCTACCTCAGCCTCTCCTCCCTGGAACTGCACGCCTCAGTGCAAAGATGCAGCTGCACTGAGAACCTAGTCAAACCTACTGGGATGTTTGTATTTCTTACCCATCCCCTTCCTAAGGCGTAGTCACCTGGGTATATTCTCAAGGCTCATCAGGGCTGCTCTGAAGCCATGTGACCCAGAGAAGTCATAGCAAAAAGGCCTGAGAATTCCATATTATCTGTTCAACCTCTGGAGGTCACATGGCTTCCCTAGCGGGGCATTACCCCTGTGTAGTCCAGATAGAGATCAAGTGCTGTTGGCAGGTTTGGATACTCTGCCAAATCACCTCATTAATGGCAACAGCAGCAGGGCCCCTCATCACCCACTGAGCACCCAGAACCTGTGCTCAGTCTTTCTATACATTCTCTCGCTCAGTCTTCACAACACCCTCCTGAGACATGAGATTGGCATACCAATAACCTTACTGGATAGGTGAGTACTTTAATTGCTTTGGGGGCCTGCCCAAGTCACCCAGCCAAGCAATAGCAGAGGTGGCTGAAATTCTCTTGTCTAAAATGTGCAGTCTCCCTCAGTTAACCCCCTACACACACCACCACCACCACCACCACCACCACCTATACACTGTATGGATAGAGGGTGCCAACTCCCACAGGAAGCCAATGGTTGGGGAAGTGAATACTTTATGCAAGGTCCACACAGGCTCTGCCAGGAGACTACAGCCCTGCTCTTCCAGTGACTCCGGTTCTCAGACCTGCCCCACTGCCTCTGGGGGCTCAGTCCCAGCCATTCCTTCTCACTGGGGCTCACACACCTCTCCAGAGTTGCTGTGCCCACCCAACACTTAGAAGCAATGACAGAGACGGGGAGAGGATCCCTTTGTTCTCTGTGAACTGTTGCCCTCTGTCTTATGTTTCTCCCCAAGGGACTGGACTGCCCTGGGGGTAGCCTCGTACTTCTTTTGAAGCCCCTGCAATGTCCAAAACACTGCTGTGCTTCTAGGTGTCTTAGAGTGAGTGCGAGTGTGTGTGCGTGAGAGAGAGAGAGAGAGAGAGAGAGAGAGAGAGAGAGAGAGAGAGAGAGAGAGAGAGACTGAGTGGATTGTGTTACATAAGGAAATAAAGGGTTTTGAGGAGAAGAGAGCATAGAAAGAGGAAGGATGAGAAGAAAGAATGGTTGACTAGAAGGAGAGACAAAGGCATCCTTCTGCTAGTCCCAGCCTTAGAGATAAGGAAGTAGAAACCCCAAGATAGGAACCAACAGCACATGCCCCAACAAGCCAGGTCCCCTAGCAGAAAACAGAAGCCATCTGCTCAAGGGAGACAGGCCCCATGAGCCAATTCAAAGGTGTGGCTGAAAATCCTGATAAGATGTTTTTAGATAATTTGACTTTTAAACAAACAAGTAAGTAATGTTTCCGTGCTATGAAATAGCTTATGACTTGTGCTGCTCCATTTTTTTCCTTAGAATTATTTTTTAAAAATAAAATAAAAAACCTGCCCAGAACCCCATATCAGCAAGAATTAACATTGTTTAGCAAGCATCCTGATAACCTTCCCCTCTCTGTACTCTATCCAGATGTACTCCCTGCCATCCCCAGAGCATAGCACAGACATACTCAGCCACACTCTAAACTACCTTCTACCTTCTCTCCTTTTTCTGCCCATCCTTGAAGGCTTCTACCAAATACAAATCTTCCCTGAACCCTTCCCTGATCACCCCAACACTCCACAAGCTTTCCCCATGCTCGAAACTCAAAGCCCTACCCCATCTGGGCTCTTGCTATCACAGGGCTCATCTGGGAAATGAGAGAAGGAATTTTGCAACTGGATGGTTGATTCATAGGAGCCATGCCTTTTGTCCGCAATGCCTTTTGATGCAGTTAATTCCATCCGTGCTGCTCCCCGACTGAGCCCTGGTGTGTGTTCACATACGATTTGCTGGATGCAGTGGGAAGCTCCTCATGCATTAGCTTCTAGTTTATTCACTGAAGCATGAGTATCTGAATGAGGACCAGATAGTGTATCTAGAAAGCAGAGAATAAGTTAACCACATTGAATGTAAGTATATCATCTCATCCCTCTCCTCATGTCGTGGAGAGAGCAGTGGGAGAGGAGTCGAGACAACTGGGGAGTCCTAGGACTTCCAGTTGCTGTACAATGTTGTGTTGTAGTCTGTCCATCAATGGCCGCAGTTAAGGGTGTGGGGGAGAGGTTGAGCATAGGGTGGGTTCCTTCACTAACGCAAGTGCTTTGAAGGATTTAGTAAGAATTGAAGCAATGCTACATAAACAAACCAAGTGCTCCCAATCACGCAGGGTTGTTTGAGTACAGCCCAAAGCCTCTTCTTTTTTATTCAGACAAACTCTGGTAAGCACCACATTTTGTGTGCTAAGCACACAAATGTCCCATCAGAGAGCTCCCAGAGGCTCCAACACACAGAAAAATGTCAAGACTAAAGGAGTCCCTGGGCAAGCCTGGGCACATGCCATAGAGTGGCAAAGTGACCCCTGCCAAACACTGTGCCTGTGAACATCTTCTCCTAGGCACTTCTTCAGAGCCTCTGGCTTCCTCGTGTTTGGCTTAGTCACCAAGTGATGGTGGCATTGGCAGTGCTCTTGGCATCAAGAGGCCAGAAGCCAAGGCAGAAGATCTGGTAATTGCCAGGACTCAGCCTCTCAGTGCTCTGTGGTCTGGAGTAAGTCCCTCCTGGGTTTGTGTTCTGAACTGAAAGTGGATGAGAAGGCAGAGAGGCCAGCATGAGACTTCTGACTTCTCACAGGCCCTGCTTCTGTGATCATCGGGTGTCCAGAGCCTGGCTCAATTAAACTCCACACACACAGATCAGATCTGCTCGGAGAATCCAAGCACCCTGAGCTCCACTTCACATAGCATAATGGTTATCTCATGCAGGGCGCTGTCCCTGCTATTCTACGCGTTGTGCAAACCGAATATGGAAATCCACTGCTGCCTGTCACCACAGAGGCCAATGACCAAAAACAAGAATCAAATTTATATTGTACTTTATTAGGAGAGATGGCGATCCAGAAGAATAATAGGTTAGTATCACTTTTTAAAAGATACTACCTTTTGCTTCATCTTCAGCCAGAAACTTCATGAGGCATGGGACTGGGTGAGAAAACAAAGGCTGTCAATCACTCTGGAGCTCAGGATCATCTCTCTGGTTAGGTGGTAGGATGCATTCCTGAGACTTGTGACGTCTGTGCCGATACCA